GGTAGAGCAGGACTCACCCGGCCTGCGGTAGAGCAGGACTCACCCGGCCTGCGGTAGAGCAGGACTCACCCGGCCTGCGGTAGAGCAGGACTCACCCGGCCTGCGGTAGAGCAGGACTCTCCCGGCCTGCGGTAGAGCAGGACTCACCCGGCTTGCGGTAGAGCAGGACTCACCCGGCCTGCGGTAGAGCAGGACTCACCCGGCTTGCGGTAGAGCAGGACTCACCCGGCCTGCGGTAGAGGCGGGTCACGGGTATCTCGTCTACCGACCACCCGTCACGGGAGAAGTGCACGGGGGCGTCGATATGGGTGCCCGAGTGTTCTGAGCTGCAGAACTCGTTGAGTTCCACCCTGGGGGAGTGGGGGAGCGGTGAGTGGTACACAAGGTGAGTGGGGGAGTAGGGGGGAGTGGTACACCACATATCGATATAATACAAATATATAATTATTTTGTATAGAGTATATGCCGAGAAAACTGCCAGCGTTAACAGAGCAGGAGTAGCACATTCAGGTGGCTCTTATGAGAGGTAAATGTAGGAGGCAGACATCGTCGGGCCCAATAGTGTATGTAGGGTGTACGTGTTAGTTTGACATGTAGGGTGTACGTGTTAGTTTGACATGTAGGGTGTACGTGTTAGTTTGACATGTAGGGTGTACGTGTAGGTTAGACATACTGAATGCTGATGAAGGTGGGTCGTATATATGGTACGTGTAGGTTAGATATGTAGGGTGTACGTGTAGGTGAGACATGTAGGGTGTACGTGTAGGTGAGACATGACTGAATGCTGATGAAGGTGGGTCGTATATATGGTACGTGTAGGTGAGACATGTAGGGTGTACGTGTAGGTGAGACATGTAGGGTGTACGTGTAGGTGAGACATGCTGAATGTTGATGAAGGTGGGCGGTTGATGTGATATGTGATACGTGTAGGTTAGGCATGTAGGGTGTATGTGTAGGTTAGATACGTAGAGTGTACCAGCAGATTGCATGTTATGCGTGATACATGCATAAGGTACGTACCAGATGCCAAATTTGTTGGTGCCTTTCTTGACGACGTTGAGCTCGAGCGGGCGCAGCTTGGGGCTCGTCGGCGCGCCGTCCAAGTAAGTGTACGACAACTCCACGAGCTCGACCTGCCCCGCGGCCAGACGTACGGCCGTCGTGACTGTCAGCAGTGGGAGCAACCACATCGCGTACACGGCGCTACACTGGTCAGGTGTTTACGATCAATGCAATGGCAGAATTGAACGACAAACTTCGAATGGCTTAGAGAGCAAGTTTTGGGAACTCCATCCGATTAAGAACTTCGTCCGTGATCTAAGAACTTCGTCCGACTTATAAGAACTTCGTCCGTGTTACAAGAATTTCGCTGTAAGAACTTTGTCCGTGTTTCAAGATCTTGATTAAAAATCTGATGCTCCGATCATCGCCGCAATATTTTTTTAAAGCTAATTTTCCTGTCTCCTGTCACGACCGTTCGTCCAATTTAAAGTTCCCTGTATATCACGTGGACATTCCTACTAACTCTGCTTTCCGTACAGTTCACTTTTAGTAAAACTTTTTGTTACAATACTCTTCTTTGCCTGGCGCTCTTAAATCTGGGGACAAGAAACGAAAAAGACATGAATTTTATTATCAAAAGACACATGTAAGTAAGATTGTTAAAAAAAGTCATAAATGTTTAAATACCATCAGCGTTCAGTCGAGCATGGATTGCTTTCCACGCATATGGGTAATAATTATCGTCTGTTTCAAGTTACTTTTTCCTCACTACCTGTCAGCGTGTGTCGGACTGACAACAGTCGAACGCCTGTCAGCGCAGACGGGCCGACGGCAGGCGTCAGACAGACGACAGACGGCTGACAGTTGGCCAACAAACACGGCATCTTATGTTTCTAACGCGCCCAACTGGCCTACGATTAGCGCAAAATTCTTTACGATCTTTATTCCGGAAATCAATATTTTCGTATATCTGCACCCACACACTTGTTGCAAAGCAGGATATACAAAAAAACCTGGATTATCTGAATATATTCTTCTATCCAACACATAATGGGCATGCGAAGTATAGAAACTCGCTTGTCCCGCCGAATAATTTTCGGTGGGGAACTTAAAAAAAATCGCGCGAGGTTATAAAAGCTTTGAAAAAATCGATACTCTTTTGTATCGACCCAACAGGAGTTCAAATAATGTATAAAATACTCTTTTAATAATATATTTGTATATTAACGTTGAGTATTAACCATATGTGGCCAGTAGCTGATCCGAGACTGTGCAGAATTTTTCACAGAGAGCCGCGGGTCTCGAACCTGCAACTCACTGGTCGAATCCTGGGACGCTTTATCATGGATATTGCAACGTTCAATGCACTAATTTGACAAAATCTTAGTACTTTCCTAAATTTAAATTGATATTCTCAGGTCTGAAGGTCTCTTAAAACCAAATAATGCCAATCATTAACTTACGACTTTAATGATAGGCGCTAAGTTAATAATTTCTATCATTAACTCATTAACTAATAATGTTAATGATTTGAATTAAGTTAATAATTTCTATCTTTAACTCATTAACTAATAATGTTAATGATTGGAATTAAGTTAATAATTTCTATCATGAACTAATAATGTTAATGATTGGAATTAAGTTAATTAAGTAATTAAGATTTATCACAATTAGATAAAGTTCCAAGTTTGACTCCACGAGGCACTCTTCACTCAGATAAATGGCAGAGAATTTGTCCAAATCGCGATGCATTTTCTGCCATGAGTGCGTCATCCAGACCCAGTTTGCTCCTGGTAGACGGGCGCATCTGTGCTGTACGTATGAAGCTTGCAGTTGACAAGGTTGTTGTCAATGCTCAATGGCATGTCCATGGATACAGTAATATCACATTAACAATACGGTAATGTATGGATAAGATAATATTATATCAATGAAGAAAAACCAAGTAAAAATCTTTTGGACCCCTACAGTAAATTGGCGCTGTAATCCAGCATCAAAGTAGCCGGGCAAACCTCGTTTGCTTTAATCGCAGCTTACGATTAGTTGTTTTATCAAGCGTTAATTAGAAATTAATACTAAATATTTGATTACTTAACTTGTAGCATTAATTTAAATACGGTACTCGTCTAACAACACGAAAATTCGCATAGAAATAATGGCCGCCCTGATCACCAGGGCTTTGATATGTCGGGCAAACTCTCGAGTCTTTATTTAGCCTCAAGACTTTAATTACCTTCGCTGCAGTCTTTCATTACCGTCACAAGGCGACGGTTCAGCGCAGGCCTGTGTTACAGACCTACACATGCAGCGCAGGCCTGTGTTACAGACCTACACATGCAGCGCAGGTCTGTGTTGCTGAGGTTAACATACATGAATAATTTTGTAGTCATCATTGTATTACAATAACACCCCTACACGCTCAGAACAATTAAGGGCTCATAGTGTCCAAATAATGCAAATAATGACATACTTTTGTATCTACAGCACAAGGAGAGAGCGGACGTAGCACTGATACACACTTTAGCGGGGACAAACTGAGTCAGGATGACCCATACAAGACTAATAATATGCGTTTAAAATTACTTTTTAAATAAAACACTTCTAAAGTATCCTGTGCCTCTGGTGTTACACATGTACAATGAATTTCTAATTTTATTATGAAATGTTAAAAATTAATTTTCTAATTTTATTTTTAGAGTTAAAATAGGTAAAAATTTTCAAAAATTATTTATTCTGTCAATTGATACATGCTTTGTCTCCGACTTTACGCAAGTGTGCCAAATTTCAGATTGATTGGAGAATTAAAGTGTGTTAAAAATCGATTATAAGATTTGTAGCAAACAAACAAGAAGTGAAGTTAAAGAGAAGTGTTGTAAAAAGTGCGTTGCTACTTGGACGAATTATAAACGCTGTCGGAACTTGGTCACGTCGAGGACTTGGCCACGTCAAGAACTTGGTCACGTCAAGGACTTGGTCACGTCAAGGACTTGGTCACGTCAAGGACTTGGTCACGTCAAGGACTTGGTCACGTCAAGGACTTGGTCACGTCAAGGACTTGGTCACGTCAAGGACTTGGTCACGTCAAGGACTTGGTCACGTCAAGGACTTGGTCACGTCAAGGACTTGGTCACGTCAAGGACTTGGTCACGTCAAGGACTTGGTCACGTCAAGGACTTGGTCACGTCAAGGACTTGGTCACGTCAAGGACTTGGTCACGTNATGGAGGTGATGAAACATCAGGATGGAGGTGATGAAACATCAGGATGAAGGTGATGAAATATCAGGATGGAGGTGACGAAACATCAGGATGGAGGTGATGAAACATAAGGATGCAGGTGATGAAACATCAGGTTGGAGGTGATGAAACATCAGGACATGGAGGTGATGAAACATCAGGATGAAGGTGATTAAACATCAGGATGGAGGTGACGAAACATCAGGATGGAGGTGATGAAACATCAGGATGCAGGTGATGAAACATCAGGATGGAGGTAATGAAACATCAGGATGGAGGTGATGGAACATCAGGATGCAGGTGATGAAACATCAGGATGGAGGTGATGGAACATCAGGATGAGAAAATGAAACATCAGGACATGGAGGTGATGAAACATCAAGATGCAGGTAAAGAAACATCAGGATGAAGGTAATAAAACATCAGGATTGAGGTGGTGAATCATCAGGATGGAGGTGTTGAAACATCAGGATGAAGGTAATGAAACATCAGGATGAAGGTGATGAAACATCAGGATGGAGGTGACGAAACATCAGGATGAAAGTGATGAAACATCAGGATGGAGGTGATGAATCATCAGGATGGAGGTGATGAAACATCAGGATGAAGGTAATGAAACATCAGGATGCAGGTGATGAAACATCAGGATGCAGGTAATGAAACATCAGGATGGAGGTGATGAAACATCAGGACGGAGGTGATGAAACATCAGGATGGAGATGAAGAAACATCAGGATGGAGGTGAGGAAACATCAGGATGGAGGAGATGAAACATCAGGATGGAGTTGATGAAACATCAGGATGAAGGTAATGAAACATCAGGATGGAGGTGATGAAACATCAGGACGGAGGTGATGAAACATCAGGATGGAGATGATGAAACATCAGGATGGAGGTGAGGAAACATCAGGATGGAGGTGATGAAACATCAGGATGGAGGTGATGAAACATCAGGATGCAGGTAATGAAACATCAGGATGCAGGTGATGAAACATCAACATGGAGGTAATGAAACATCAGGATGCAGGTAATGAAACATCAGGATGCATTTAATGAAACATCAGGCTGCAGGTAATGAAACATCTGGATGAATGTAATGAAACATCAGGACATGGAGGTAATGAAACATCTGGATGCAGGTAATGAAACATCAGGACATGGAGGTGATGAAAGAGGTCATAATAACCAGACGTCATACCGCAGTAACTCCGCTGATCTAATGTACAGAAAACAAGGCGCAACACTCGTATCAATGTAATTCAAGTATTTAATTTAATTTAAGTCACTTAGAAAAAGAACTCGTAACTTAGCCACATGACAGCTCCCGGCTCAGCAGGAATTAGGATGACCAAGTATAAAGTAATTACCTCATATAATTAAAAATAATAATTATACGTTACCTTGTAACTTGTTCATATGTATTTAAACCTGATGCATAGACCGATTACTTGCGTGGCTATCAAGTTAATGCTGCAGTACTAACGCTTACTATGTTAGCAGCAGCACGCAGCACTGCCAGTGTTAGCAGCACGCAGCACTGTCAGTGTTAGCAGCACGCAGCACTGCCAGTGTTAGCAGCAGCACGCAGCACTGCCAGTGTTAGCAGCAGCACGCAGCACTGCCAGTGT